TGATGTTTCAGGACCCCACCCTGATGTTTCAGGACCCCACCCTGATGTTTCATGACCCCCCTCTGAAACATTACAGATCGTTGATAAAAAGGTTCAGATTAAATTTATTTAGATTATTTTGAGTCTATCAGAGATAAAGACGAGTCGGAGTTCAAATAATATAATTTCAATAAACAAAGACCAGTTTTATGTTAAAGAGTTCCCCTGTGATGTCACTTCCTGTTTCACTTTGAAGTTTAAAAGAAAATATAGCAGTTTTGTGTTGAAATGTTTCTGCAGGTTTGTTAAGTGTTTTCTGTGACTTTGTGTATCTGATGGACAGCAGCTCACAGACTAACAGCTCTTCTGCTTTGTACCTTTCTTCCTGGGGGGGTCAGCTGTGAACAGGTGGGGCTCCTCATGTTCCATCCCGCTCCTGTCAAAAACACGCACACACCTCTCTCATGCACGCGCACACAGTCACAAACAAACGTGCACGTGAGCCACACTGTGTAACACTGCACCCGCCTCGGGTCAGTTGTAGAAAGTAAAGGGTCGGTCTACCTGTTGGTGGTCCTAACGCCCAGGTCTGCGCAGGCGTTTAAACACGTGCACGGCCATCTTCCTCCTCCTCCTCGGGCCTCACAGCTCCCACATCTCCTCCATGTCCTCCAGAGATACCCCTCCTCCTGTCCTGTGTGTGTCTGTGTGTGTCTGTGTGCAGCTGGACCGGGCCGTGTGGCTGTGACACCCCCTCCTCTTCATCCTCCTCCTCCTCTTCATCCTCCTCCTCCTCCTCCTCCTCCTCCCTGACGGTCCCGGGCTCGGACACGGTTATGTCACCACGGTTGTTACGTAACAGCGGCGGATCGTGTTTGCTTTGAAGTGCAGGTTAGGAAATATAATCCCGTGTTTTCCTGCTGCTAATGGACAAAATACAGCGTGGTCACACAGGATTCTGCCGGCCTGCGGCCTTCAACGTGACCGTTGTTTATTTGTTTGTTTATTTATTTATTTTCTCTGACGGAAACCACCTGCAGGGCTCCATCACTGCAGTTATCACTTTACTGATGGTTTCACAGACTGACACAAAGAAAACAATGAATAATCAATATGGGTGTGTCCAAAACGGCAGGACGGGTCCTCCGAAGGACCCAGCCTTCCCCGTGGAGCTAGGCCGGGTCCTTGGTAGACCGGGAAGACCGGAAGAAAGTCGCTGTGAATTTGGACGGTCTAGCCTTCCGCTTTCATTCCCGCTCTTACCCGGCGTAAGTGTGGTCACCTAGCAACCATGTTCACGCTTCAGGAACTAACAATGGAGGTCGAAGCTAGTTTTTTAGTTTTATCAGCGATACCACGATCACAGACGTGTTTTATTTTTCAGACTGACAAATAATCATGTCCAGGTAAAGTAATTC